AAAGTTACTTTATAATGTCCTATTCACACGTTCCCACATTTACATATTTTACTAGCTGACCCGCAGGCGGTGTTCTGCGTGAAATTATGTTTTTTTTTTTTTTGTAAAGAAAAGAAAGTTGAATTCATATTGCGTTGAAAATCATTTATTTATGATATGTTTTTGAATAGCTGAAATACAGAAAATAAACGATCGAAATTGAACGATTCAACTTATTTACAAAACAGCTGAAGAGGTAACACAAATAAATTCCAACGGAAATGAGGTTAGGTATATATTCAACAACAAATGAAAACTGTGCGAATAAATAAATTAGAAAGAAAAATCCAATTTAAGAACATCAACAAAAATAAATTTAAAAAAAAACTATATTAAAAATAGTATTTTTTTCGAATTTTCCGACTTTTCCTCCGGAGAAATAAGTTTTTCTTTGTTTCTAAACCTTCCCAAATTCACAACGAACCATCTTGAAAATTCCATCAAGAGTCTTGGCATCATTAATAAATAAACATTAATTTTTATGTATTAGGTGTAGTAAAAATGAATCCATTATTTTTCCTATAGATGGCGTTATTTATCTGTACCTCGCGTTGAATAAGTCCGATCGGATTCTGCCAGTTCTGACAGTTTTGTCATTGGTTGTTTCAGTTTTGTTTGAGCGTGCGACAAAGATGGACACTACCAAAGTGAAATTACGCTACATTTTACGGTGTTTTTCTTCGAAATGGGCAACGCAAGCCAGGCGGCTGAAAATTGAATAACGTTTATGGTCCTGTACACTGTTAGAGACAATCCGGTAATTTTGATATTAAAGATGCTACACGAAGTTGAAGGCCAAATGTCGATGAAATCATGGAAGTTATCGATTCCGACGGTCACATAAGCACTGTTGTCATTGCTCAAGAGCTAAAGATTGCACAAAAAGCCGTTTGGAAGCATGAAAAGTAAAAATTACTTCCTTCAATGCCATGAAAAAGTAATGGATTAATTTTTACTACACCTAATATTAAGAATATTCACAATTTTAATTTTGTCAATGCATAGCTGACGTGACGAAAATGCCTGCAACATTACATAATTGGTTAGAAACTAATGAAGTGTAATCTCATTCAAATTCAATATATACGTATTTGGATTGAATTTATTAAAATGTTGATCAGAATAACAGATAGTAATAAATATACGAAAATATTAACTTGTACTTGTACTAATATACATATGTATAATATAACGTATGTATATAAGCACTTATATTTGTACTTACAAACATGTACTAATATTGAAAATATATTAGATGTGTGTTCAAAAAGTATCACGAATTTTGAATTTTCGCGGGTTACGTATAATCAAATTTCGATTTTTTGTGGCGTTGCGTTAGTACTTATGTCTGTCAATTATGCCGACAAGCTCGGCCACTTTGAATGTTCACTTAATTGTTGAGAGCTGCTTTGCTTGCACGTTTTTTTGGATGGTACTCGATTTTTACTCTACAAAAAAATGGATCAAAGAACCTGTATCAAATTTTGTGTGAAAAACGAAATTAAGTGCGCGGATGCATTCCGAATGTTGACTGTGGCATACGGAGAAGCTACTTTGGACCGAAGCAACGGTTATCGGTGGTACAAAATGTTATCAGAAGGCCGAGTAGATTTGTACGACGAAGAGCGTACCGTACGAACGAGCACTTCAACAACAGCCGAAAAAATTAATTGCAGGGGCGTGGTGCATCATGGGTTCTTGCCACATGATAAAACGGTCAATAAGAAATATGACCTGCAAGTTTTACGCAATTTGCGCGAAGCAATCCGCCAGAAACGCCGGGATTTGTGGAAGAACAAAAATTGGCTTTTGCTCCACGATAACGCCCCTGCTCACACATAGTTGCTTGTGCACGGCTTTTTGACCAAAACAACACACTAATGATGCCGCAGCCACCGTATTCCCCATATCTTGCCCCCTGTGACTTTTTCTTGTTCCCTAAACTGAAGAGGCCTATGAGAGGACGACGTTACGCTACGATTGACGAGATAAAGACGGCATCGAACAAGATAAAAAAATGATTTTTTGTATAATATCTCATGGGGATTACTTTGAAGGGGACAAAATAGATATTCATAAATAAATAAATAATTTTTGAAAAAACACAAAACTCGCGATATTTTTTGAACACACCTCGTACTTATGGTGCGACCAGAAAATATTCGTTATTTTATTAATTAAGGTACTATTTTCTGATAAAAGGTTAATCTAATTTTTGTTTTACTGAAGAATTATTCAGATAATATTCCACAAAACCAATCTAATAGAGGTATAGAATCGATGATTTTGTCAGCTATGCAAAGCATGATCCAAGACTTGATTAAAGCCCAGAATAACATGCTACAAATCTTCATGCAAAAAAAAAAAAAAATGAGCGTGCTAAACATTTGTTTATGGAATACAAACGGTGTGAACCAACATAAATTAGAATTGACACGATTATTAACAGAGTATGCTATAGACGTAATGATATTGTTTCAAATGCACTTGACGGATATACTTCTAAGAAACTGCTTTAAATACTGCGTCTTACAGCCCTACGCTACCTATTATCTACAAGCTACCTCTATAACCTTGAATAATTATGGCAAAGAACTAAATCTTTTAGCCATTTATTGCCCTCCAAAATTTAAGATCACAGAAAATCAATTTAAGGAATTTTTTTGATAATCTTGGTGATAGATTTATAGCAGGAGGAGACTACAATGCTGAGCATGTATACTGGGGATCCCGTCTAATAAACCCTAAATGCCGTCAGCTAAACAATACCATTATAAACTACCGTAACAATTTGGATTGTGTTTCCCCAGGTCAATCAACATACTGGCCTACCGATCGGAAGAAAATGCCTGACTTAATAGACTTTGCTGTCTCAAGAAAAATCGACAGGCAACTTGTATCAGCTGTTGTCTTCAGACGTAGAAACGAAGAAAAGGCAAATCGCTCTGCAAAGCATTTAAGTAATGTGTTCCAGCCAAATGACGGAACTAATAATTTTATTCTTCCGGAAAATCAGGTGGAAATTAAAATATCAAGCCTCTCTCTCTCTGTACTCTTTAATGCCATTCTAAAACTAAATTACTTTCCAAACGCGTGGAAAAAGTCGCAGATATTAATGATAGCCAAAAGAGACAAAGACCACACACAGGCGTCGTCTTACAAACCAATAAGCCTACTACCCAGTCTTTTCAAATTATTTGAAAAAATTCTGCTATCAAAAATATCTCCTTTTCTTCACCGTAACAATGTGATACCAGATCACCAATTCGGCTTTCGTGAAAAGCATAGTACTATCGAACAAGTTAATTGAATAACTAATGAAATCAGAAAGGCATTCGAGCTCAAGGAGTACTGTTGTGCAATTTTCTTGACGTAGCACAAGCGTTCGACAAAGTCTGGCATAAAGGTTTACTGTACAAAATACATAAAGCTCTGCCTGTTCAATTTTATATGATACTTAAGTCATATCTGACTAACAGACAATTTACCATTAAACAATCTATATTTAGCAGTGAGGAGTATCCGATAAGTATCCGGGTGTTCTGCAGGGTAGCGTCTTCGGGCCTATTTTATATATCATATACACTGTAGACATCCTATTAAGCCGAAAAGTGCAGACATCTACCTTTGCGGATGACACAGCTATTTTATGCCGGGATAAATGCCCTCAAAGAGCAGCAAAAACGATTAGTGATCATTTACTCCTTATCGAAGATCGGCTAAAAAAATGGAGAAATAAAGTTAATGAACAAAAGTGTAAACACGTTACATTTACTTTAAGACCGCAATCATGTCCTGCAATTCGCTTAAATGGTATAAACATTCCCCAAGCAAATGATGTTACATATCTCGGTATACACTTAGATAGACGTCTCACTTGGAAGAGACACATAGAGGCGAAAATACTACACATGAAATTAAAAGCAGCTAAAATTTAAATTGGCTTTTAAATAAAAACTCCGGTCTAAGACTAGACTACAAAGTCCTTATTTTCAGTCCAGAATTTTAAGAGCACTAACGGGCGCATCATGGTACGTTCGTAACGTTAACATTCATCAAGACCTTGGTATTGAAAGAAGCAGGACGAAGTACCTAACAAAGCGAAGAAATCATCCAAATCCGCTAGCTAATGCTTTATGCAACCCATCGAGAAATTCCCGCCTGCAGCGAAGAGATGTTCCCGCCTTCTAAGAAGAGCGCCGTAGGTTGAAACGGGCTCAGAGTTAAATAACTCGAGCTTCCATGTTTGTAATTTAGTTTTTAAGATTTGTACACTTACTGTTAGGCTTATATTAAGCAGATCCAGTAAATAAATGAATTCTATATAAAAAAAGATTTTGTTTTTTAATAAATAAGTTTTTTTTTTCTTATTTTATAAAGTAAAGAAATATGCATCAAATCAGTTTGGAAATCAGCAGTCGTAAATTTCACCCTAAATCTTTAAATAACAATTTTTGCAAACCTTGAACTGCAATTAATCTTAACGAGCAAAATAATCCAAATTTATTTCTGCCCTCAAGCTCAACCAGGTCATTATCAACAAAGTAAATATAATAAGAATATTCTTACCACAAAAGACTTTTGTATATGTGCTTTAATACATCAATAAGATAACTGTTAAGTAAGGATAATTAACAAAATAAGGGACGCAGTCATTTAACCTGCAGCTGTCGCTCACCGCAACTTCATTATGTAGAGAAAGTGCCAGCCTTACTCTCCATCATGCCGTTCGCTGGCTCACAGGCAATTTGTAGTGTTCGTATAAAAAATAAAACTAATTAACATAAATACAGATATACATAAATACATATGTACATACAAACAGTTATAAATATAAATTGTAGTAATTTATTATACAACTTTTTGCATTTCTACAACTTGACTTTTATTAATGCTTTGAGGTTCTTTTCTTAACACTTTACTCTTTTCTCTCTCTCTCTCTTACATACACTTTCCCGCAGTTGACGACGAAGATCCAGAATTTACGGATGTCATTGATAATATAACAGTGCCAGCGGGTCGTAACGTTAAATTGGCGTGTTCCGTTAAGAATTTGGGCTCTTACAAGGTGAGTCATTAATTGTCATTATTTATGATAAGTTAAGATAAGCCGCAGATTTGCTTAGGAGAATCAAAAACCTATTCCTTTGCAAAAAGAAAATAATCTGCTTGTGTAATATTTTTTTTTTAATAAATTGCTTAATTATCCTCACGTGACTTGAGTGGAATACACTCAAATTCTGCGGTCTTGAGGCAATTAATAATGCTAGATATCCGAATAATAATTAAAAAAATGGTTGATTTAACTAGGAACATTCTGCGCATTATTTTGAGTCTGTTATCGAGCGCAGGAGTTGCTCTCAACGGAGATTTTACTGGGCTGAGAGCCTGTGCTTGCGGGGATGAGTACTAAGATTTTTGGTTTTAAAGTATTGATCCTTCTATTAATTACATAAATAATTTTGTCTTGATTAGGTTGAATTTAAGGAAATTGTTGCTGGTGTAAGCTTGATTAGGTCCAGACAGTAGATCTACGGGTAAGTTCTATCTTTTACTAACATATATATGGAGCAATAGTAGACGTCTAATGGTTCTGTCAAGTTGCCCTTGTAGAAGGAAGATCTAATAAAACAAGCTCCATCAGTTATAAGCGCTTGATATTTAAGCATTCGGATGATACTGCTAGACTAAGACAAAATAAATGTCCCATTATAGCCACAAAAGTATAAGAGTAGTACCGCAAACTAATTGAAGAATGTCGTGCAAAATGGAGTGTAAAAGTCAATGAAAATAAGTGCAAACACATCGCTTTACATTAAGGCTACAACATGCCCATTCGTCAAGCTGAACAATGTACCTCTACCACAACCTGACGAAATCACATACATTGGCATTCACTTGGATAGATGATAAACTCGAAAGCGTTACATTTTAGTTTATATTGCTTTTTGAGCGAGAAATCTGGGCTCAATCAAAAAACAAAAGAAAGAAAACAAAGTCCTTTCTTTATACTGCGTCTATATAACCGATTAGGATGTATGGAATCCAGTTCCGGGTTACAGCTTCCGCGACAAATCTAAATGTAATAGAAAGATTCCAGTCGGTAACATTGGGAATAATAACACGCGCACCGTGGTACATGCGTAATGAAAATATCAATAGAGATGCAAATATATGCACAAGTCAAACGCGCCTGAAGCGAGGGGACTCTGAGCCAGCAGCTCAATCCTCCAATGGGCTATTCATATTTTAATTTAGTTTTTAAAATTAGATAGCTTATTACTTATAACTAATAACTTATTGTGAAGATTCTGATGTTGAAGGAGATTCAGTAAATAAAAAAATGTTAAAAAAAATTTGTTGACTAAGAACAAATTGAATGAAGCGCGCCATAAGTAGGCATGCCGAAGTGAAGTGGAAGAGCAATGTAAAACCGGAGAGTTCATGTATATACTACTTCATCCATCTTGGCTTAGATAAAGTTATACCTACAACTTTATAGTACAAAGTAAAACTCCGGATAACCGGGTATCGAGAACTGTGAGAAACGATACTCGTTCGTTGCTCAACTGCTCAAATGATAGACTGAAATTTTTCAAATTTTAATTTTGTTTGTCAGAATTTCTTTAGTATATCAATGAGTTTTACACTTTGCATAAATAAAATTAAAATTATAGAAAGGAGTTCTGTTACGAAAGTAATTTTTTTATTGTATAATGCTCGAAAAAGCTCGAAATCCTGCTCAAAAATCTTCGAGCAATGAGCATTAAATGAGAGGGTGAGCACTCGTTGCTTAACTGCTCGGCCAGCTCGAAAATGGTCGAACAAAATCTTGAGATCTAATACAAAGTACCTAAAGTACAATTCAATATTTTGTTTTGTGATGATTCATTTATCTGTTCCATTTGTAAATGGTCGAGAAGTGACCAACAACAAAAAAAAACCATTTACATATATCAATCGGCAGCCCGAGAGAACGGCATACTTTTATTCCTATCACTTCTTCGTCTACGTCCTCCCTCCAGAAGCTTCTGCAATGGATCAGAATAGTTTTCAGGTTGAATCGGACAGTAATCAATTAGATCTTCGGGGCGCACACATTCTTATGTCCACAGGTGTCTCGCAATGAGGGAATGATGGATTGTCACTTGCCGGTCGAATGAAGTTTATATTTGTACCATGGTTCCAGTTTTAGTTTAGCATTAAGCTCTCTCGGTGCAGTAAGCAATTCCCAGGGAGAATTTATTTTTAAAGAGCTCATCCTGGGCGCTTAATGGGTATAAAAGAGCAAAGAGTAAAGCGAAAAAGTCACTCCTCCCACATTGGTTCCATCGCTTCCTACCTTTAGCAGGCCAAACCATATTCCTCTGTAATTCCTCTACTTATCTCCGTAAAACTGAAGATTATCAGCACCTAAGCTTACTGCCCGTCAGCAAGTAAAATTATCGCCAACCCGCACCGTTGATTTTCCGCATCAAATTTTTAGTAATCACAGTAGTGCTTTCAATTTTTTTTCGGCTGATCAAGATGCAGTGAGTTGACGCTTTGACGCTTTGACTTCTAAATTTACATTGGTATGCTATACGCTCTGTTACAATTCCATGAGACCGATCACATTTCTTAAAAATCTAAATGTCATGACATGCTTCGACAAGTGTTTTGAAAACAAGTCTATAGACATAACGGTAAAATTTTCGTAAGAAAGATGTTGTAAAATTCTAAAACCCTTTGATATGTCATCGTATTTCTAGGACCACATACATAAATTATAAATAAAAGCGTCCAGGCTGTCGGTGTTCAAAAGAGGACAGATTGTTAGGTTGAGTGAAGATGATTGGCTGTGACAGCAATTTTCATTCTTTATGATAAACTATCGAGGATGTAGAAAAAAAAAAGAAATTTTGTCCACACGGTGCGAGAAAGATTTCCTGAACTACTTTTAACCCTAGAGAAGCTACCGAGTGTGTCTGGCGCCAAGTCCCATGAAGAACTTTCAAACTATCAGAAAGCGCTCAAGAGAATAAAACTAACTGAGCTCGATAAATATGGTACGGAATAGGATGAATTGAAGTGAATTGAAAAGAAGTCTAACTTAGATGGTCGGCATGTTTATATGGATATTAGCTTGTTCTAAGCGAGGTTCCGCTTCTATGCTATTCATGTGGTGGTAAAATTCAGACTTGGGGAGCGAATTCTTTTATGAAAACATCGGATTTTAATTTGGTAATGTAATAATTCGTAATTTTCCAAAGTCCCTTGCTTCTACGTTTGGCTTCTTCCGCATCGGACTTTACTTTACGTATGAATAATGCGATGTTGAAAGCAGTACAAAAAGTTGAAGCGCGGTAAAATTATTAAAGCAATAACAAATATGTATTTTTCATTTCAAAAATCAAAATGTTTTATACTTTTGCAACACCAACTTATACTTTTTCTACTTAAAATTTCTCATATCTACAACTTGCCAGCGCTTTAATTGAAGAAAATACTCGCTCCAACATCTCATGAAAGAAAGTCTTTTTCAGGTATCAAGTGGATGTTGTATTAAACTTTTGAACGGTCTTATAGAGTAGCAACAGTATGTATGTACTCGTATGTATGTTTATGTACCCACTTGTCTGCATAAATCAGCAGAGTTTTACGGAAATGAATATCATTTGACTTTATTTAAGTGTAGACAGCTTAACAAGTGCATGTAAATCACAGGCAGGTTACTACATATATACATACGTGTACATACAAACAAAAAGGTTGTTTATGTAGGCAGAAAAGAGTGCAAAGATTCGGCAGGCAACTAGTGGCCCATCAGCAATTAAGACAAATTTCCAACACGGACCGAAAAAGCCACCAACAAAGCCAATCGAGCTCGCAGGTTTCTTCCTTCTTGTTTCTACATATTCTACTCCTCCTGCTCTCCTTTGTTGTACTCTACTCTGTTTATTAACCGCTGTCTGTCTGCCTTTTCCTGGAACTTTCACTTGCATATTATGTTTCCTGCCTCATTGTACATATATACATATTTATGTATATTGTTGATTTTTTTGTTGTGGAATTTTTTTTTTTAACTTTCCTTGATTTTTTCCTACCTTCTTGTTGAACTTGCTGTTGTTTGTGTGGTTCATTATTACAGCAGGCTAATTAATTTCATTAGTTGGTAGAAAAACAAGGTGCAGATAACCGCAATCACATACACGTATACAACAAAAATAGCAACAGCAACAATGACAGCAAATTATGACCGCATCGTCGGCGGGCGTCTGAAGCAGCAATGTTAATGATGCTCATGCTTCTAGTATGCTTAGGACTCATGAATATATTTATATTCTCGAACAATATGTTTGTATATTAGTACGAATGGATGTATATTTGTTGGTTTGCAACATGATATCTGTAGCATACCTTTTGGCGCATCAGCAATTGCCATGCCATAGCAAACACAACCGCACACAGACTCTCTCGAAAAGGCCAACAGGCAGTCGGTAAACGGAAGCTCCTGAGCTCCGGTGAAATTACAAATTGTAGCAGAGAAGCAAAGCCATGAAGGCACTTTCAGCCTGATGAAGGCACTTAAATACGTACATACTAGTCTATATAATTTACATACATATATGTTTGTCTAATTATGACTGTAAGTGAAATTGAAATAAATGTATTCATGTGTATTTCGAGTATTCTATTTATGTCTGATATCTATTCCGGTTAGTTAGTCTTACTGCTCTTACAGCCATACTTACATATATTCATATGTTCATATGTATATACATACATATGTATATGTCTAACTGTATATGGTTCTACAGCGATTCGCATTAGCATGCATATTTAAGTGCCTTTCATGCTGTCTTCAAAGCTAACCAAGGCAATTACGCATATACAAAAACAAATTTTACCTTTATTTTATTAGTTAAAATATGCGGAATAGATTAACATGATTGTATTAATTTGCGTTTAAGTGAAATGGTATAGCGGGTTCGCCTTGCCTTGGCTTGGGTTAAATGTGGTGAATAAATGAATGGAGCGATTGCGGTATCACTGACGCATAAAATTTAATGAGCGTAGGCGATTCTT